TTCTCAAATTCTCCCCTTTCTATTGTGATATATAAGTCATTCCTCATTTCGCCTATTAGGAAAAGAAAATTTAAACTGTGTTATATATAATAGAAAATATAATAAAAAACTCAAGCCAAAACCTTATAAAATATACTGCAATAGTAAGCATATAAAAGTACAAATATACATTTACAGTTTTATAAAAGGTTTCCCATCTTCACTCCCAATGTCTGAGAAAAATAAAAGTCAGCCTCTATTGGTCTGAATTAGCATTACTGCAAATGTGCCTTTAGGAAGTGAATACGGGGCTTGAGTAGGAAGGTGTCAGTGAGTCTCACCCTTACGCACTATTTCCCTCATTTTATTTATGAGGTGTGATTACAAAATGACAGCCTAGAAAGGGTGGCTCACAGAAACCAGTCTTAATACTTTATAGTCATTAGCACTTGAGAAGAGAAGAAATAGCTTGAGAGGATGGCAAGGGGTCCATTTACAATGGAAATCTCTTCTGCAATTCACAGACAAAATGATCTCACCTCTGGAAGAATCCAGATGAGTGCTTTATAAGCACAGATGTAGAATAACTGAGTAATACAGAAAAACTCAGCTTTTTTCCTATCATCAAGCTATAGGACAAATGGAGGAAACCCCTAGATTCAAAATGACAGGTTCTGTGTACTTAGACACCATCTAGTTTTTTCCTCCACTGGCACTTTTAAAAATTGGAATGCTTTTTAATCTTACTGATTTCTTATTATTGCGAGAAGGAAAAAAAAAAAAAAGACAGGTGTTTGACGCCAACTATTCAGAGCAAACTTAGGCAAATGTGTCAGTAGCACACTTTCCTCTCTCCTATAGAATTACATTAGGGGGTCAGCAGGTGGTGTGGTGGTTAAGGGTGCTAGACTCCCACATGGTCGACCACGGTTCAAGTCTCGGACCTGGTGGCTTGCTTTCTCACTTTCCCTTTCTCTCTCTCTCTCACTCTGTCCCTCTCGGTTCAAATTAAAATAAATAAATAAAAGTTAAATAAAATAATTCTTTTAAAAAAAAAAAGAAGTATGTTAGGGGGGAATGAATAAGTGGTAAAAGGATAGGAAAGTGAGAAATAAGTAAACTAAGTGCTACTAGAGAGGTTTGGAAGGTAATTGCTGGTAAGATGACAAGGCTGAATCCACTTTTACTTACCACAGCTTTCAAACTTTTGGAAAAGCAAGACTGAAATGCTGTTTTCTAATTAAAAAACAAAAACAACAAAAAAACCTCCCCATAAGAAAGCAAATCAAGAGGCCAGTCCCAGCAGCACAGCAGTGAGATAACCCTCTGTGCAGTTGAGGTCATGTGGGAGGGGCCCAGTTTGCACCCACAGCCTTCCCTAGTGTGCCTGGCATAAGCACGTGCCTGTGATCCAGGCTAGCTAGGCTGGGGGTGGGGCAGTGGTATGAGAATCCTCTTGGGGTGCCTACCTCTCTCTCTCTATTTTCTTGGTCTCTTTCTCCTTCTTTAAGAAGAAATAAATAAAAATTATAGAGAAAAAAATAAAGAAAGCCAATCATGACAAAAAAATATATAACCATATGAGTATGTCCACAACTGGTAGATTTACAAAGCTTCCTGGCCAAAGTGTGCACAAGAAAACAACTCAGCTCTTCAATACCAGGGGGAAATAGCAGTTTGCCAGCCCACTTTCCTGCATACAGAGCAACTTTAAAAAATGATTTTTGCCAGAGGGTGCCTACACTCTCCAGAGGGAGACAGAGAGAGAACAGGCAAGTGAAAATGACCTCCCTTGGGAATGGCCATGCTGCAGTCCCCTCTCTCCCATTTCCCTCTTCGTTGAGGATTTTGGGCATGTGTGGACACATACTTGGTGTGTTTTTCAAGCTTACAGGTCTGGGACTTAAGCTACTTAGTGGGCTAGGTAGGATCCAGCTGCCTTAATCACTATGCCATGGGCTGGTCTAAGAGCAATTTTTTTTTTTTAGGGTTTTGCCATCACTGGAGAGAGATATATAGAAAGAGAAAATTAAAAGTCATCCCCTGGGGTGATGGCATGTTGCAACCCCTTCTCCATTCTCCTCAGGTTTTGTTTTTGTTTGTTTGTTTTTTTTGTTTTTGCATGCACAGGCATGATTTTTAAACTGGCAGATCTAGGACTTGAACTGCAGCAGACCATTGGGAATCCAGAGCCTTAGCCACTACTCCATCTGCTGGTCCAAGAGCAACTTTTAATGATGGCATCCTGCAAAAATGACCTAGGCTGACAGAAAAACAGGTGAGACATAAAACGCAAACTGAATAAATCCTGAAAAGGATTAAATTCTAACCGCCCTTTGTAAGTGGTATATAAAACAACATTAGTGGACACAATTAATAAAGACGTCTGTGATTTAGGAATTTCTAGTACCTTTATATAGCTCTTAAAAACAAACTTGGGGGAACCAGATGTTGGTGCAATGGCTATGTCACTGGACTCCCATGTAGTCGACCGCAGTTCGCGTCCCGGACCTGGTGGCTTAAAACTCACACTAGGCATGTGTGCGTGCGTGCCCATGATCTCATGAGAAGAATGGAGGAGAAGAGATTGTGGTGTGGCCATCCCCCTGGGGGATGATTTCTCGCTTTCTGTCTCTCTCTCTGTCTTTCTGGCGAGTGCACACACCCTATAGCAAAAACCTCTCCAAAAAAAAAAAAAAAAGACAAAAACAAACTTGGGGGAAAAACAAACAAACAAACAAAAACAAACCAACCTTGGGAAAGCAATGAACTTAGATGTCCAGGAAAAAAAGAACATATTTCAATGTATTGAAAATTACATCTGCGGGCCAGATGGTGGTGCAGTGACAACACGACATTCTGCAAGGCTAGACTCACAAAGGACAGTGCCAGGTTGGCATCTCAGAGCCTTCCTGCCCTGCGCACACCAGAAGAATGTGAGCCTGTGTGCATGCCTGTGTTCTGAGCTGGCTAAGGCTAGGAGTGGATTACAGCATGGAGCAACGGGGGAGTGCGAACTGTCATCTGCCTGTCGTCTGTCCGTCTGTCTCTCTCAGAAGAATAAATAAATAAATAAACTAAAAAATTTAATTTAGGGCCACCAGTTGCATAGTGGTTAAGGCACTACCATATGGTCAAATGAGGTTCCAAGTCCTGTACCTGGTGGCTTGAAAATCACGCTGGGTCTGTATGTGTGCATGTCCAAAATCCCAAGAACAGAATGGACTATGGTGTGGCCATCTTCCCCCGGGGGTGATTTCTTACTTTCCTTCTTACTGTCTTGCTCTGTCTCTCTCTGATGAGCGTATGTACCCTATGGCAAAAACTTTTTTAAAAATTAAATTTATATGCTTCAAAAGTTTTGGGTTTTTTTGTTTTTTTTTGTTTTTTTTTTTTTTTGTTTTTGCTATTTTCACTAAAAAAATATTTTTGGGAAAGGGACAGTTAATTTTACAAGTTTACTAGATTTTTAGTAACCCATTTCATTCTATTATTATATATATTTTACTACAAATATACACCTTTAATGTTATTTAGTTTAACAGTTCCACTACAGAATGCACAGCAAACTCACAAACTTGATCTTCTGAATCAACCAGTTTTAGCAAACAAAAAATAGGGTTGGTTCATTAATGGTCTGCACACATGCAAATTCAATAAGAGGTTTGGGAGGAAATTCTTGACAATAGTTTTCCCACTAATAGATTCCCCAGGTTTTAAAAAAAGAAAAGTTCACTCACATCAAGGTACTTGAGAACAAAAGGTATTCTCTAACAGCAGCAAAATTCCTTTGCTCCTTGAAATAGGAGACATATAATAAGTAGCCCTGCTTATATACAGAATATAAAATATCCATGGATTAATGCGAAGTATATCTATGGGACTTTTAACCTAAGAATTTCTCATAATGAGTAATCAGCTTGTCCAAACCACATGGGGATTAAATGTCCAGCAAAATTAAGAGTTTCATGGAAG